TTAGACTTGCATTTGCGTTTGTAATTTGTTATTTTGTTTTCAGAATTGTGATTTGTTTTGCACTTCTCGGTCACCGTACAAAGCAGATATCAGTTGAGCTGAATCTCGGCTGTCCTCGTCTCACCCCAGCTGCATACGGAGACTCCTGGGGCCATAGGGCAGTACAGGGGCCAAATAAATACTACTCCCTCTCTAACCTCCCTCTCCACTTTCCTTGTTGTGCTTCCATCTCACTTACCTCCTATTCTATATCGTCTGCTCCATGGCTCAGAGGCACACAGCATTAATAGACATGATGACCTTCTGTGGTGGTGTGTGTGTGTGTGTGTGTGTGTGTGTGTCTGTGTTTGTGCATCGAGGCTTTGTTTAGCCCAGATAAAGCAGCACCGGAGGCTCAGTTCAGACCGGGATTATCAGGATACAGAACCACCAGGTTCACCCTCATCCATCACAACCGGACATCTCACATGAGGATGATGTTGGTTTAAGATTCCCAGTGCTACCCACAAGTCCATATCTGTCACCGCACCGGCTGACAGAAACTAATGATTATAAAGAGAAGGAGGCATGATGGAAAAAGAGAGATGCTGGATCCTATAGGAAAGAGAAACCATAAATTTACAGATTTTTATAAAGTAAATTTTAGAATAGCTCTTAGATTACTTCGTAGTATTATTTCAGGATGAACAATTACTGGACTGAAGCATGTTCATATTAAGATCTCTGACTTCTGATGACAGACTTTGGTAAACTGACAAATCTAAGCACAGTTTCAGACATTGTTGAGGTCTTTTTTTCCTCAGGAGAAAACTTCAGCAACTGTCTCCATTTGATTTTCCTTCAGCTAGTTCCTAAAGCAATATTTCCTATTTTAATTTAGTTGAACTGGCAGTAAAATAACTAAAACTTAAACTGAAATGACAACATAGACATATATCAACAAAAACTACACAGACATATATTAAAAAAACAAAACAAAACAAAAACTAAAACAATAACAAATAATAATTAAAAAAACCCTAAATAAAAATAGAACTACAATCAACGGAAAATAGAAAAATAAACACTAATTCAAAATATAAAAACATTTCTTTTTTTTTTTACAGCGTATGTCGTGTCATTTCTGTCTATTTCTATTTCTCAGAAGGAGTTTTACTGTAGGAGAAACATAATATAAACAATTATATTTTCATCTGGGAATAGGCGATTTCCTGATGCTACCTGGAAAAAGTGTGATGCTCATTTGACATTGCTCTGCCGAATCCTTCTGTGAATGCTATTTGTGTCCCCTACAGTTTAAACAGAATTACCCTGGTACTGCTTCACATATTGTAATAAACCCTCACTAACCGATGTCAACCTGACGGCAAACATGCTACCACACAGCAGCCACATCTACCCAACCTCTTTAGCTCATTACCCACGAGGC